CAATAATGAGATAATATAAAAGTCACACATGTAACAAAAATCAACACGCAAACAAAACTAAAACTAAAATAAAAAACAAATTCAGAAATAAGAGAGAAAAAATTAACTTGTAAATGGCACAGGTTAATCAGCTATTCAAGATCATGCATAAAATGGCAACAATACAAACCAAGAGGTAACATGGGTAGTTTAACAAAGAATATTGAGGAAAACACAGTTTTACATTGTGGAAAACTATAACTGATAAAAAGAAGGCTGGTTAGATATTTCCTCCATTCAAGTTTTCAGTAATGAAGTGAAGCACTGTATATTCATTTTGGAAATACCCAACATTAACACAAATTCTATTATGAACTTGCAGAAACTTGAGAAAGCATGAAGTACATGCAAAGTAGCAGTGTTCAGAGATTGCTCAATAAAATGAATAACAAAATATTTAATTTTAACAGTCCACCCAAATGACTATCCTTACTGTAATATTTTCAAGAATACTCCTACAACAACATGTTCTCCCATCCTTTTGATTTTACGCCACGTTATATATCATTCACTTAAATTAATTTTGGTACTATAGTTAAAAACTACTTTATATGTTAAAATGAACTCATATTATAAAATGAATTTGAAAAATAAATGAACACTCATCTGAATTGAACAGACAATTACACAAGAAACATTCCCGTGGAATCTAATCACATTTGTTGTAGCCTCATAAACATCAAATAGCTATAGACATAACCGAGTTGTGGAAACAAGATAAATAAAACTAAATTAGTACATTAAGTACACTTATTTTACATTACAATCAACCTGCCAGACAGTTATGGATGCAATTAACATACCCAACAGTTATGAATGCAATTAACAATCCAAACAGCCATGCAAACAAATAACATGCTCAATAGCTATGCACCCACAATTAACATGCCAAACAGCTATGCATGCAATTAACACTTTGGCGTCGTGATGACGTTTGCGTAGTCATTAAAACAATACACGCAGTTCGGGGCATGACGTCAATAATTAATTTTTGTGTATTCTTATTAGTAAGTATAAACATTGTGAGTGAAAGAGTTTATAACACTGGGTTGTGTGCTTACGGGCAATTCCAGGCCTACCTTGCGGTGTGATGCAGGTGGCCCGCTGCGCCGGTGAAAGTGTTAAACATGCCCAACAGTTTTCAGTGTCATGTATTCTCATCTAAATGGGAAAACCTTTAGTAATTGTTTGTTTTCTATTACTAAACAATTATTGTCTTTTATTTCACTGCCTGTGGCCTATTCATCTCTCATAATACTCATGTGGGAGTCAAACAGAATTTGTCTACTAAGCATAGATTTACTGTATATATAATTTTTATTGTTAGCTATATTATGTGCCAGCTAGAAGGATCCAGGGCCAATCAAATTATTTAAAGTAATGCACTCTTTCAGAGGCTGCTCCAGCAGACTTTTACAAAAAATTCAAGATACATTAATTTGAGGCAAGATATGGTAACTAGCCTGGTGGTTAACGTTACCTGTTAAATCTTACATTTTCATTATTGGCTAAGACTTCGTAAGTAAACAAAATATTACAGCACACAGTTTTTAAATTAAAAAACTGATCAAGCTTATTATTGCATTTTATAAAGTACTGTAATATGTATTAAAGGTTCCACTGGATTGAGAACAGTGTCTAAGACAATTAAAGTGGATTAAAGTTTCATAATGCAAATTTATTACAAACTAGAGCAAAGGTTACTGTCACCTTATTCCCAAAAATATAAAATTAGGATTTGTTTGTAAGAAAAAGTGAATGTTAGCGCCACTTATTAAATTTTTTAACGATACATATGGTCTTCTAGGATTGCTGATTATTTATTCCTACTTGAATCTAATTTGATAATTCTTCTCATGGGTGATTCATGGCACTTTATACAAGTGCTTGTTTAATGCATTTAAGATTTTTTAATTATTATTTTAAAGCCCAGAATAACTTTATTTCAAATATGATCTTCAAATTTACAAGGATTATAGTACAGTACTTGTACTCTGTATTCTTGATACATTGTATCTGGTTTGAAGTGGTGAATATACTGGAGCTCTGTTATTTAATTCCATGCACGAGAAGCAGCTTGGTCTTAAGAGCTGATGAACTGATAAAAATTCAGACCTTTACTGTTCTTGTAAAACATCTTTCTTTGCAGATAATTGCATTCCTCCTAACATAAGCATGCTCTGTCCATAGGACATGATCATGTATTCAGGAAGAGCAACAAACAGTACAATACTGCAGCGACACAAAAGTGAACATTTTGAAGGGTCCCTGCTTAGCCAAAGTGCTACTGTCACTGGAGAATAATAATCAATCAATCAAGCCCTGAATGACCAACACATGTTTATTCATAAAACGTAAGGCCTTACAGAGAACTCCCAACCCCTTGATATCACAAATGATCACTAAGGAAGTAAATAATTATCAAAAGGAGGCACCAAGACTATGTATCACTATCAGTATCGCAGGATATTCAAAAGGCACTAAATATCACAGAGGATGCCAATACGAGAACAAAAGCAGAAAAGGGGTATGATATGAAAGGTATCAGATTCACCAAGGATTCTATCAAGGGACAAATGTTCCTGAGGGACATTAGGAAAGCAAGACATACGATCATCTTGAAAATTGCTACATTCCACAAAGAGGTGTGGGACTAAGTGGGACAATACAATTAGGGCAATAAGGAGCTATTTTCCTAACTGTATTAAGGTTGCAGAACTGAGAAAGGGAAGAAGGGTAGGGAGGAGAAGTGTGATGCAATGCACGAGCATAAGTCATGTCGGAGAAAGAATTAAGATAGCAAACTCTGCATCTTGTCTCGGGGAAAGATATACCATTGCGATGTTTTAAATTGAGGACGGCTTCCTCAATTTTATAGTGCATGCATGTGTAGGAGAAGGCAGGATGGGTGTAACCACAATTGATGCACTGAGCTTGGGAAGAAAAGCACTCTAAGAATAACCTAAGACTCCACACAAGGGACACAGGGAAACTTTAATAATGCACTTCAAGAGACCATGTCCAACTTTCCAGAATCTATAGCAGTGGTGAGGAGAGGGGATGTACTCCTGAATAGATCAACTAGCACCCACAAGAATTATGGAAGACTGAAGAGACCTACCAACCGACCCTTCCAGTGAGTGGTCCATTGACCCAAACAAGACTACTACGAATGTGCACATTCGCATATACAATGCCCAAAAAGGAGCAGGAGAGGTTATTGAGGCAACCTCTATTGACCCCAGGAAGTCGTGCATGAGCCCCCTCACCATGACAAGGTGACACTCTTGAGGGGACATCACCAAGGAAGCATTCTGGTACACTACCAGTTGGCCTGCTAGGACACCTGTATCAACCCACCACTGACTACAGCATTTGGAAGGGAGGAAGTAGAAGTAACAGATGCCTTTCATATAATTCAAACCTGATCTCTGAGCTATCTCATTCAGGAAAAATGTTGGGCAAATAATGTGGCAAGTGATAATAATAAATCAAGCACCATGATGCCAAATTGTCTCTCATGACCTATGGTAGGTAGGTAGGTCACCAGGTTTACTGCCATCGATTGCAGTACAAGAAAAACGACTGGTACCCAAGCCCATGTTTCTGAAGAACTCTAGACCAACCCTACAGAGAGGCCAGTGATCCCAGTTAAATAATTCATGCCACTGAAATAGGATAAGGAATACCCTATATAGTACACAAATCAATTGGGATGCACCAAGCAAACATGACAGAACAGAAAATGGCAAAACTCCCATTCTGATGCTGGAGACACGTGTCCCTGTGATGGTGTAGGTTCACCGAGCTAGGTTACTTTCCTTCATGACTGATACTGTATCACAGAATAATTAGCCGAGCCTTGAGCACTAGATTCTGAAATGTTGAACAGAGAAATCAAGCCAAACCAATCTGAAAATACAATTCCCATCTGCTGGATGACATGGGACCCAGTCAGGAAGTATATGAGGTAGTCTAGAAATTGAGGCCCTGGAGGTGGTGATGCCTGGTGGTAGTTGGTATGAGTTTCCAAGCAAAGCAGAGCATAAATATTGAGAGCACTTCCTTGGAGGTCATGACTAGATTTATTATTCTTCAGCAACTCCTTAATTACTTAATGACCCTATAGGGACAATTTTCCAAGTTCCCAGTGATATTGGTGTAGTGCATCACCAGCCTGATTGTGTGATCATGATCTATGGATACAACAGTACTAACCTTAGGAAACAACCGAGTGATGTACCTCAGAAATAACCTCATGTAGAAGATTGTACTCGGAACAGAATTTATATTTACATTCAAGGGCAATCTTTTTAAGTTGCAATCAGGATTATATCTACTACTACTACTACAAAGCATTAGTTTAAAGTAAAATATTAACCATGTATTGCAAGCAGTTTAACAAGTAAATTAAAAATAATAAATTAAAAATCATGACATGTCAACTAAAGCACAGTCCTTCAGCCCAATGGAGGATATAAAAAAAGGGGGGGGCAGTATACATGGAAAAAGAGTGACAGGTATCTGACAGGGAAAGCAACATTCAGACTTTGAATAAAATGTTTGATATTACTCTTCTGTTACTAAAGGCATAAATAAGAAGCAGAAGCCTAGTCAAAATAGGCAAGCCAAAGTGTGCTTATACAGGGTACTATACTGTATCTAGGTTAAAATTTTGAAAAATCTGACATTATAGACTATGGTAAAACACAAAACTTGTTTAAACTCTATACCTAGACTTTATAAAATGACAATGCATCTATTGGTGAAATCACCACACAAAATACTGATTAATGGGGTTTTAACTAATGTCTATATAGTACAAAAGCAATGTGATAACACGCTACTATTTAAATGTTAACAACAATTAACAAAGTATGCTAGAAGGAAATATGGGCAGTAAAGAATCACTCAGTAGTGATTAGGAATTTAGAATAGATGGGGAGGGATATTGTACATACTACAGTTGGTCTCATCCAATTGGTCTAGGCAATCTTGAAGCCCATTGCACCTATCTTCCAGAGGGATGCAAGTACCATCGCCACACCGAAACTCGTTATTCGTGCACAAGGCTGAAATTATTGTGTAACCAGGTCAGTAGAGCTCAACAAACTTATATGGTGACCAGTGAGGTAAGTTGGGTAAATATCAGGCATTCCTCCAATTAAGACATTCTAATAATACCTTTTTCCTGACAGGTCACCCCTTGTAAAGTCAAGCTTGTCCTAAAATTGTGAATGTTGGAGATTCAATCATAAAAGCACAAGAAATTCACTAATAAACAAAAAACTAAATAATGTTATTTATGAGTAGAAGCACAAAAATAACTGATAGTCAACACATGAATTAAAAAATAATAAAACACGAGAACCAATTTAAATGTTCTCAAAATTAAATATGTACAACTAATAGTGTTGGCAACTCCACATCCACTTGACATTAGGGCACAACTGAGTGTTTTTCTTGCATTTTTGTCAGCTCTACTACATTAACAAATTAGTATACAAGTTACTACAACAACAAGCAGTTAATCTATTTATAATCTTTACATCAATATATGCAAATTTTAAAGTAAAAATGCATTTACATGCATTCCAAAGAACTACAAAAATGCTAACATTTAAGTTAGATGCTGTTAAATTGGATGGCAAACATAATACCTCACAAACTACAATTAAAATAAGATATTATATGCAAAATTACTGTATATGTACTAAATAACAACTATGTGGAAATAAACACAAGATAATAGAATTAGAATTCCGAGCATTTGTGAGTATGAGCACATTTTTGTCATAAATACAATAGAGAAAAGAAGGACCAAGTACCTGTATCGATTATATACAGAGGCCAAGACCTGAGTGCAGAAAATTGGCCCTCAACTCACACACACATCAGGTCATCTAGCAGGGAGGGGTTAAACAGTACATGAAGCAACCACTCAGAGGATTACTGAATACACAACCATAATTAAATAAAGTCTACTGATTATAAGACATACAAATTTAAATAGTACCAAGCTACTATTTAAATTATTTTACAGCTTTTTAAACATCCAATTTCAAACCTTGATTCGCACAATAATTTTTTAATCAAATAAAAGAATATTGGCAAGTACAGAATAATCAAAATATTAGTGAAGGGCAAGATGAATCACACCATATTATAATTGGTGGAATACATAATTACAAATCGGAGTCATCTGAAATCCTTATTGAACCATTGCTTCATGTAAACCTAATGCTTAATTCTCTATGGCAGATGACCTAATATACATTAGTTTAGAGTTGAAGGCAAACCCCTTTCACATAGGTCATGATCTGTGCATTGTATATCTTTTTAGAAAATGTTTCCTCATGTTTTCAATTGTATTCCTTGACAGTGTGCTAATACAAAAGCTCTAGGAACTATTGCTTCATTTCTGGTGTGGTTATTTCTGCATAACTATGTAACATACTTTAGTAGCTTTCTTATATTAATATATTTTACATATATCTATATTATATACAGTATAAAGAATATATTTTATATATTTTTTTGCAGGTAAAGGATAAAACCATGAGGTTGAAAATGGGGAACAGATTCACAGATAATGCTAAATTAGATTTTCAAAAACCAAATATAATGTCAATTTCAAAGAACACCATGGAATACGTAGAGGTGTCTCGAGACGAAATGAAAAAATAACTTTAGGAGCTAGGAAAAAACAAAGCAGTTGGCCCAAATGGAGAACAGATTCACTCGGATGCATAATCTCATGGAACCTTGGGTTCCGTGAGATTATGCATCCGAGCTAAGCTTTCCACTTCAAATAATATTTTAGGCACTTTTGTACAGGAATCTTAACAGATGTATGGAAAAAGGCAAACAGTTCCAAAGTATAAAAATGCTAGCAAAGAAGATCGTCTAAATAATAGACCTGAATACACTAGGAAATCATAATAGCGTGTCATATTTAAGGTCTTATTGGGTTCGATATCGACGCTCAGTCAGAAATTCTGGGTTTGAACACCGGGCAGGGCAGAAAAGGTTGGGTGCATTTCCTGTCACCTAATGATCCTGTTCACCTAGCCTAAATAGGTACCCAGTAGTTAATCAGCTTGATATGGGGTTGCATCCCTGGGGGAGGGTCAGTAATTTGACCTGGGGTAGAGGGTCAGTAAGTAATTATCAAAAAGAAGGCACCAAACCAGGAAGGCTATGTAGCACCATCAAATGTGCGGAATAATCAGAGGACGCTAAATATCACCATGGATGCCAATACGAGAACAGAAACGCATAAGGCGAACGATATCAAAAGTATCCGATTCACCAAGAATTCTATCGAGGGACAAGTGATCGCGAGGGGTGGTCGGAGAGAGGGGTCAGTAATTTGACCTGGAAGGGGGGAGGGGAAAGAGGCACTTCATATAGGGCTAATGTGTATACACACTGGTAAGTACATACATGCGTATATACTCCCAAGACAATTAATTATTACAGAGAAATAACAATAATGTGATATATCAATGAACAAATCCCCCATTTGTTCAATAAACAAATCTATATGCGTATGGGAACGCCCGGCTCATTAGTTTGCACCCTCATAAAGACTCCTGTGGATTTCTACAATTAATTATTAATCTTATTAAAAAACATTGGCACATAATAGGGATCGAAACAAGTGTCATGGGTAACCCCAACCCATTGAACCATTATATGGTATAAGTAATATAATCTGAGAAAATGCTATTGTGATTTCCTAGGGCATCTGAAGGGAGCTTTTGATGCAGAGCTCCATTACCTTCACCAGAGCGAATGCAGTAATTTGTAAAAACTTGGATCACCTCCAATGATTTTCATCCAGACCCGTGTCGTTGAAAAGCATAATGGTCAAACACTAGACAAAATCATTATAACCAAAATCAAAAAATACCTGGAGAAATTATATAGTAACAGAAAGTATGGTTTTAGAACGGGAAGATCCTGTGTAACAGACCTACTTAGTTTTATGATAAGAAGTCTAATAAAGAAAGAGATCTAGGTGTGGCTCTGGATAGTAGACTGTCACCAGAGGACTACATAAAAAGACATTGTGTGAGAAACAGTTACTATGCTTTCCAAATTCAGAATTGCTTTAAAAAAAACATGGACGATGAAAAATTAAAGAAACTGTTCATGACCTGCGAGATCAAAACTGCAATAGGAAATGGTTATATGGTGCCAGTATTTCAAGAAGCACATACATAAACTGAAAAAGGTGCAAAGATATGCTGCAAAATGACTTCGGAATCTGATAAACAAGAGCTATAAGGAGAGGTTAGTGTTAAATATACCAGAGATAAAAGAAAAAGTTGATATGATCACTACGTACAAGATAGTAACAGGAATCAACAAAATTGACGCGAGGAATTCTTGAAACCTGCAACTTCAAGAACAAGAAGTCATAAATTAAAACGAAGGACACAAAGCTGCCAAAAATAACATTATAAAATTCACTTTTGCAAACATAGTAGATGATTGAAATAATTTAATTGAGATGCCAAAACTGTCACAGTTTCAAAGCATCATACGACAAAGAGTACTGGGAAGAAAGGACACCACGAGCATAGCTGTCATCCAGAAATTGCACATGGGTAATTATATATATACAGTATATTCATATACATGTATGTATAGTACAGTAAATGTTCATAAACACATGATATGCTTACATATACTCTATACATAAACACCTTTTATACAAACATGCATCTATTAAAAAAATACACACATTTAATCTCATGCCATGTGACTATTAAAAATTTGTATAACTAAAGCCATTTTTCTTCTTTAAAAGATTCTGTCATAAAGCTTTTCATTATACTCAGTATCAATCCTGATAATGGTGCTAATGACTTTACCTATCGTATATATTTTATGGTGCAGTTCTGCGAACAGAAAGAAATGGCTATAATACAATTTCAAGAAGTACAGTATCTCGATATGATACACTTAAACTATAAAAATTATACATTAAGTACCTGACTTATGATCATAATCACAAGAGGAAGCTACAGTACAGCAGGCTATAGATCTGACGGTTTGAAAGGCAGAAGCAGCAGTATTATACTACCTATATGTAGCAACTGTGTTAAATTTACTTAAAAGTAGAGTACCATAGCAGCTTTTGAATGTAGTTGCACTATATTATCAAAATCAAATAACTAAGAAGAAGTCAAACAGTTTATGATGTGACTATCACTCTTCATGCCACTTTGTAGTTTAATGTTTATATTAATATTTATATTTGTATAATGGTATACTTTTGGAAGCAGTCGATCTTGAAGATGTGTGTTAATCAATGAGACCGAAAGGGTTCAAGTCAAACACCCTGCCGCAAATCTTTATTTTTTAGATTATAATTTACTTGGAAAAATTTACTTTCCAAATTTTATTTTACAAAGTGCCTAAAGCATTTGGTTAAGTCCAACACAGCCTCAGAAACATATGGAAAGAGAATACAAATTAAGAAAACAGCAATATATAGTTCATGTAGGTCTGCCGAGAAGAGTGGGTGCCACCCTTTAAAATGGACAATGAAATCTGGTTCTCCATTCTCAGTTATCAGCTGAGGTTGCAATTGGCAATTGGCTAAGCATTTTTGCTGTCCATTGTCTCATTGCCATAATATCAGTAGCTTAATTTGGTGTTAATGGTCAGGATCTCTGGTTATGATCTAGTTCGGAGACAAGTCTTCGTGATGTAGTGGCAAGACGCTCGCCTGGCATTCCACGAGCGCTTAGTCATGGGTTTGTATCCTGGCCGGGGAGGATTTACTGAGTGCAAATCCTTAACAAGAGCCTCTGTTTAACTTAACAGTAAAATTGGTACTTGGTTGTAAAAACGATTCTTTGTGGGGGTCGTATTCCAGGTACTATAGCATTAAGGACTTGCCCGAAATGCTACGCGTACAGTGACTGTACAAGAATGTAAGAACTCTTGTATATATCTCAAAAAAAAAAAAAAAAAAAAAAAAAAAAAAAAAAAAAAAGGAAGAAGTTGTATGTAGAAATTATTTGATATTTAATGTTTGAGCATTATCAGGCAACTTGAAAGAGATTATCATCTCTGCTGTATATTAAAAGCATTAAAACTAACAGTTCCCAAGTGAGCACAGAAAAGCATAGACCACATTAGTTTCGTTCAAGGTATAGTACTGTTTTTGGTGCATTGAGAGTTATTCATGAGTATGTTATTGGTATTCGTACTCTTGTATTAGATTGTCAGTTATATTATCTACTCATCATCACTAGATGGTTCTTGACCATCAATATCAAAATACAGAAACTGACTGATATAGTTGTAACAATAAAAAGATTAAACATAGCAGAAGTACTTCATGTCAAACACTCGTCTAAATATCAAAAGCCAGATCATATCTAGGGTCATTTTTCCTTCGACAAAACAGAGAACTGGCAATCTGAGCTCCATCCACCATCCCAATCAACCAATTAGCATGGAGAACCACATTAGCTTGTCATCTCAACAGATCAACCACTCCTCCTGTCTGCATACCTCTATTGACTATATAATGCTATCTTACAAATATGTATTCACTTCCCCTCTGCCTCTGAGGCTCCATTATGTGTGTAAAACTAACTTTAGTGAGTTACTTTTTCAATTTCTTTCTCAGATGAAGAAAAATTTCAGAAGTATAGAGACGACTTGGGACACAGTCACTGACCCCCTCTCTCACGTCATATTCAATAACACATGTCTATAAAGATGATGACTTCTAATATATATATATATATATATATATATATATATATATATATATATATATATATATATATATATATATATATATATATATATATATATATATATTTATATATATATGTATGTATGTATGTGTGTGTGTGTGTGTGTGTGTGTGTGTGTGTGTGTGTGTGTGTGTGTGTGTGTGTGTGTGTGCGCGCGCACCATACACACACACATACAGTATATAAATGTTTACATTTACTTTTACTTTATATTTAATTTTAGTGCATAAAATGCAAGTGAAATAACCCAGTTAATACTGCTTTGAAATAGTATACCCGTACTATATTGGTGGATGCAGATGTGAGTCCAACCGTCATATTTTTAATTAACACACACAAAGTTATCTGACAATGGCTTACTTAAAATTTATATAATAAATTATTATATATACTATAATATATATATATATATATATATATATATATATATATATATATATATATATATATATATATATATATATATATATATATATATATATATATATATATATATATATATATATATATATATATATATATTATATTATATATATATATATATATGTCGTACCTAGTAGCCAGAACTCACTTTTTGGCCTACTATTCAAGGCCCGATTTGCCTAATAAGCCAAGTTTTCATGAATTAATTGTTTTTTGACTACCTAACCTACCTAACCTAACCTAACCTAACTTTTTCGGCTACCTAACCAAACCTAACCTATAAAGATAGGTTAGGTTAGGTTAGGTAGGGTTGGTTAGGTTCGGTCATATATCTACGTTAATTTTAACTCCAATAAAAGAAAATTGACCTCATACATAATGAAATGGGTAGCTTTATCATTTCATAAAAAAAAAATTAGAAAAAATATATTAATTCAGGAAAACTTGGCTTATTAGGCAAATCGGGCCTTGAATAGTAGGCCAAAAAGTGAGTTCTGGCTACTAGGTACGACATATATATATATATATATATATATATATATATATAAATTAATTATATATATTATATATATAATATATATATATATATAATATATTTAAACTGATTTCATGGTAAACCATTACAGTACTTCACAATTATTGTGAAACTAGGATTTCTTGACTATGTATTATTTAGCTCTTCAATATATTAATACAAAGCATTGTAAATAGGAAAGAATTATCTTTCGTGAATAATACATGAGAAGGTCATGAGACCATTCAGCCATTCAGTATGAATACTAATTCCACCCATCTCTTCTTCCGCTTTCCACTCCTTCAGTGCGGTGGATGTCCCCCAAAACAACTTTTTCTTGAATGCCTACACAAGAACTAATTTTTTAAGGCTCCTTAGACAACTGTTCAATCTACCCTGCTGAAAACAAACTCAAGCTAAGTATTAGACCATAGCATCAGTCAAAGCAAATGGAGTTCTTAGGCCTACTGGGGACCACGAGCCAGAACCAGGCCCCCTCAGACAGGCAAGAGGAGCAATGGCCTATAGAAACCCCCGTGTGGTTGGAAGCATTCTATGCTTCCAACCACAGAAGTACTGTTTGCCAGGCATATTGACCGGGTCAGGCACCCAGAAAGGTAGGCGCCCTTAAACAAACCCAATGTGGCTAAAAAATTGCTACTGAAAACCAAACTGTTAGACAGCACTCCCCAGATAAAAAACAAGCAAACGAGCATGACCTCATAACCGTCACTGTGCCGCTGTCTGTGCAGCTCCACCCTTCCAGAAGAGGGGGGGGGGGGGGGGGGGGTAGGGGGAGTCCCAGACCCTCCCCCTTGTACTGGCTATCCACCCCCAGTTCTGAGGCTGGATGTCAAAACTGCAAAAACTGCCAACCAGATGGAGGGAGGGTTGCCAGGAAGCCTCCGAGTCTTACCCAGATAATATTTGTGGCGGTGTAGCAAAAGCCACACCGCCACAAATTCCCGCACCGTGCTGTGGACCTGACGGAAGAACGGACCTCACCGACCCTAGCCGGCCAGGTGAGCACTGGTCACAAAGCCCCAGCCGAGAGACGACATCCATGAACACATCAAGCAAGGACTCTAGTAGATGCCATGGCACTGAACCCTGGAAAAGCTTAAGAGGAAGCCGACAACACACCAGTTGACGCAAGGCCCCCGAATCCAGTGATTGCCCACTGAACCAATGAGCCCCAATGGGAGTTTCCAGGGCCTTTAGGCCGACTGCTAAAGAAAGTCCAGACGAGGTACTGCTAACCTGTTATCACAAAAGTACCAAACAAATAGAATGCTGAACCCCTGCGATGTGTGCAATCACGGGGATATAGAAGAGAACCACCCAAATAATACAAGTAGTCCTACAGCCTAATCAGGCAGACCCCCGCCAGACAAAACAAAACAAAAAGAAAATAAACACCCTGCAAAAGCACAATGTCACCAAGAGGAACAGAACTTGCCATTATGCATATTATAAGACAGCTGAACAGTACCTTGCACCCCTGCCAGTGACGATAATACCTTCTACCCAAGGCCAAACAGTAGTAGCAAAAACCCCAGCTGACCCCAAGGGCGGGCAATCACCAAGCAGCAAAAGAACCCTGCGGAGGTAGACCCCCCAAACAGTTTGTGGAAGGTGACCCCAATCTGCAAGGGCAGTACTTACAGGGCACCTAGGGAAGATGACCTCAGGTGCATGCAGCCACAGTACTTCTGGAATTACACCTGGCTTGCACACCACCACACAGCACAAGATCACCGTGAGGCACAGCGCTGCTCAAAGGATGGAGCCAGAGTTGATCGACCGCCACTCAATACTATAGCCTCAGAACCGAGGTTGGGTAGCCGGCACGTGAAGTCTGGGTTCCCCCCCCCTCCCTGGGAAGGGGGTTACTGCACAGACAGCAGCTGTGGTGACGTCATGCTTGTTTTGCTTGTTTTCTGATTGGGGAGGTCTGCTTGCTCGTTTGACTTTCAGGTTGCAATTTTAACCAGCTGTAGTTTGTTTTGGCTGAGAGGGGCCAGGTTCTGGCTCGTGGTCCCTGGTAGGCACAGAACTCCCTCGACTGAATGTTGCCACGGTCTAATATATACACATCAGCCCAGTATAGCTCCGGGGAGCCAATGGGGCTCTCCACAGAAAACATATTGCAGCACTTAAATTTAATCATGTAGCCTATTTGCATATTATTCTTTTTTTGAACAAGGAGCATATATGCAAATCACAGGAGACCTGCCATTTACTAATCACTGACAAATACTTGAAATAAAACTAGAATGTAAAAAGAGTGTAGTAAACAAATGGCTAAATTAGGATGAGATGTATGTAGCATAGGGTTTATTGGGAGTGACAAGGGAGGAGGGGGCTTACGTGGACAATCTTTCTCATCACTGGTGTCCTGACAGTCAGTGGTTCCATCACAATGCTGATCTGCTCGGATGCAGTAGCCATTATTGCAGCGGAAACTCTCTGGAGGACTGCACATGTCCGAGGCTGTCAATAGCAAGCTAGGGGTCATACCCTGACTACAGTTTAATCAGAACAAAGGTTTTCAAGCAACTGAGGATTTGTTAAAGAAATAAATAAAATTCTCAAATAGTCATCCATATTGTCAACACTTAAAAACAAGCAAGTTCCATTGTAACTGGAGTAGACTTACTAATTATGATAGTTAAAACATTATTAATTACACAATCCTCCATGGAAAGTAATGGATATGCTGAAGTGCAAAAAATATAGTGCTTGCTTTATCTTCATTCAAGACTAAGAGGAACCGATTACAACCGATTAAAAAATTACACAGCCTGACGACTTTTGACTTTTTTAACAAAACATACGAGAACTGATATATCATATTAGTTAATGAGAAAATGACAATGAACTTTAGTACAATGTAACAGTAGCTTCAAAACTACAGTATGCATAAATGATGTCTAAAAAACTATGTTTATAAGAATGAAGACATAGGAGACACAATTCATTATATTTTCTACTATGCATATATAATTTCAAAGGAAAAGCAAAATGAATTTAATATCTTATTAACAAATCCATTATTTTTAGAGATTAATGTTCAAGCTAAGGTAATCATTTTTTAAGTGCATGTGTGAGGCAATATTCTGTATGCATTTTGTGTGCAAAAATCAATACACGTCCACTTATGATAACGTTTTAACTGACAGTATATACAAAGCGTTTTCAATACAGTATGGTACTGTAACAAGTTAATATTTCAACAAAACTGAATGAAACTTTGAATATGTAACTAAAAGTGTTATGAATACAGAATATTTGTATATTTAACATAAACACTTTATGCTGTATGGTATAACAATGTAAATATTATAAAAATAAATTTGATAGTCACTGATTACATTGTTTAATAAGCAAGGAAAGGGTTTGTTATTATTAAGCAATTTGAGAATTTCAGTAAGTTAAACAAATTATTTGATAAGATGCTTTTGATTTCCAGATGCTTTTCTTTTCTTTCTTTTCAGAGGAGACTGAAATAAAACAAATGAATTCAAATCTTTAGATATAAAAAAAAAAAAAAAAAAAAAATAGCTTTTATCATTTGAAATATATATATATATAAAAATTGTGGGCCTCTTAAGAAAATAAAAGCATCAGATTACGATGTGCATTTTAGTAGCCAACATAATAAGAGACGGCTTGAAATTTGAGGTAAACAAGATGTGTGTGTATAATTACCTATTGTATTTTATTACAGCAAAAAGAGGAGTGATATCTTTCTCATACAATATTTTTCAATCATCATTAATGTTAAAGAAATGTAATTGTTGAATTTTATTCCTATTACCACTATTTCTGTTGATACTAAACAAAATACTAGGAATGGTTGGATGACTTGCCTGTATTACTAACACTAAATTAATGATTAGGCAACCTTATCTAACCCATAAGAACCCAACTCATCTTCCCAGTGCATGGGGTATAAATTTTAGGAAATTATATAAATCATCATATTTTTTTTCAATACTGTACTCCCATTAACAAAACCAATCTTTAAAAGTAATAATAATGTCTTCTCACAGACATAATAACATAGAATAAAAACACACACTTGTGTATTTGAGAGATTAAGTCCATGAAATTACACTGTCTTCTGTCCATGAAATTTCTTTACATAAATCTCACAAATACACACGTGTGGGTTTTTAACCAATCTTTATGATAAGCTAGTAATTATCACTCAGCATGCCAAACTGAGAGCAAAGCCGTAAGGCAAGTGACTTGAAAGTCATTGGATTCACCAAAGGATTCTACAGAGGGACAAGTGACTCAAAGGGACAGCTGGAATCAAAACTTATGATCATTCTGAGAGTGCAAGTATTTATTTTGTTCATTAAGTGTCCATGAGTTAGGCATGTGGTATCAATATGTAGCCTGCCCAGAGCTGTTTTCCACCACCTATTATGGTGGAAGGAGGAAAGCCATGGATAGAGAATACAGAGAATTGTATGAAGTTTGTTGTTCATAATACATTAGCAACTATAATGTCAATGGTTCACGTTTGCATTATGAATGACCAAGTAGAAATTCAAATAAAAAATCTCTTTGTGAGAGATGGGACAGAAATGAATGACCTCATTAGCCCCAGCATTGACTTCATTAGATCTTCATGTGAAAAATATATCTTAACCCTTTCACGTTTATGCCCTTATCAATTTTGGGTGCTACTAGCATCTTGGGGTCAAGCGGAAATTGCTTAGCAATATTTTACTTACAACATATACTGTGAACTTACTATGTATGGTAAAGTGTTAAAATTGGTGTTGTTAGCTAAAGAGTTGTACTTGATGAGGGCACTGTATTTTCAAAAATGTAATAAAAGCCAAATAAAATAACAAGGCGAGTTGAAATTAGCCGACATGATTTGAAAATAATGACTACAGTCAACAGAAGGGAAAGGGAATTATCAGGAGAAAATGCCAAACCATTACGACTATATAGCAATTGGAAGGGATCAGGATAAAGATTTGGAATGGGATGGGAGGAAGGAATGGTAGCCCAACCACTTGAATGGTTGGGGATTGAAAGCCAACCTGCATGAAGCGAGACCATCGCTCGACCGTTCAGAGCATGTGGTTGGGCACCATTCCTTCCCTCCGTCCCATCCAAAATCCTTATCCTGTTTCCTTTCAAGTGCTATATAGTCATAATGACTTATAATGTTCTTATAGTTTCCTTCCCCTTCCGATGATGATTGTAGTCGTCATTTTCAAAGTCATGTCGGCTAACGTTAACTCAGTTTATTTTGTTTTTTATTGCATTTTTGAAAATAATCATAATCAATTACAATGCCTTTGCTTAAAAACAATATAAAATTAAACAAACAATGAACATAGTCGTCATCGGAATGGTCTGGCATTTTGAGCAAATGACGACTGTGCCACAAAAATGTTAAACAGTTATTATTACAGTATTTCTACCCCATTTATTGTACAGTTTACAACTGTGCTCTTATTCTGCATATTTGTGTTTTCAAAACTATTTTTAAGTGTTTTATTTCTTTGTCTTCTTGAATCCTTTTAAACGTTCTATGAAGTATCATAAGCTCTCTAATACAGTGGAACCCCTCCCCCCCGATTCGGCGAACCTCGGTTCGGTAAATCTCCAATTAGAACACACACTTTTCAGGCCGGATTTAGTCACCCGATTCGACGAATTCTGGTTCACTGAAGCGGGGGATGTGCGGATTTACTTTGGATAGCAGGACAAAATTCACAAACTGATGGAAAAGTTCTCCCATACACATGCTACCAGGCTAGACAAACTGGGTGTAAACAGTCAGGCTAGACAAATTGGGTGGAGACAGTCAGGCAAGATATTGTCAAGCTAGACATATTGCCAAGCCTGACAGATTGTCAGGCTACAAACTGGATGGTGACAGTTAGGCAAGATAGTCAGTCTAGACATTGTCACAATAGACATACTGTCAGGCTAGACAAACTTACTGCTGGGGAAACAGGCTACAGTTAAAGATTGGGACCAAGTAAATCCTCCCTGGCCAGGATATGAACCCAGGCAAAAGTGCTTGCTAAACACCAGGCGAGTGTGTTACCACTTCGCCACGAGGACTACCTGATGGATAGTGCCTTCCAGCTAATATAACGACTGTGACAAGACACAATCATTACACTAATGATGCCCAAACCCTCACTGCCTTTATTCCTCCCTCAATGCCTCTCTCTCTTCCTCACTGCCTCTATCCCTCCCTCACTGCCTCTATCCCTCTCTCACTTCCTTCTCTCCCTCACTGCTATCTCTCCTTCACTGCCTCCATCCCTGTTTCTATCTTGACCTCCAACTCACTCCCGCTATGCATTCCTCACCCAGGTGGGTAGAGAGTGGTGGGGCCGGCAATGTTTGCTTACAGTTGGTGGCACCCTTCATGACCACTCACACATGAGGTGTTTATAATTACAAATGTTAACTCAAGAGGATTCAATAAAAATACTGTACTCAGTATGCCTTTTCTGAAGATTAAAACATTCAATAGCCATTGAAGCACAAAGTCTACAACATTAGCTCTGGCACATATAGAGTTGAGAATGATGCTGATGCATGAGCAGGGTTAATTTATCTATTTTAACACTAAAAAGTGGTATTCTACTGGTACTTCAGTAATCGAGTAACTATAGTTTTAACAAATTAGTTATCTTGTAGCATTCCATTCTTGGATACTGCATACACTCACCTAGGACACACAAGAACCAAACTTGACCCCAAACAATTTTGTATTTTCTTCACATAATTTGGCTATTATATAATGTAGATTTTAAGTTTACATGTAAAACTATTTGTTCTGTATCAAACTGTATACAGTACTTATTTCATTTCGTAGCATACAACAAGCAGCACAATAGCAACATTGGGAAAATATTTAGTAATGTCAAATATGTTCTGTCATTTCTCATTATCCACCAAGAATATGCAACTGACAGATGACCTGCCCCTGCATTTACTCCCTCCATATTAGGTTGCTAGTTACAAGGTCTTGCCCATTTTAACATTGGGATGTGAACAATATGTTAAAACTGCAAATTATCTTCCCTTGCCAGATTGGCTCTACAATATATTCTGCTCCATACCAATGTTGGCCAAGCACTTTAAATAAAATGCAGTGTTCATCCTAAGCATAATCTTTTTATCATCATCCTTTCAAATTCATCTTCCTCACCCTCCTTGGTGTAAAAAAAAAAAAAAAAAAAAAAAAAAAAAAAAAAAAAAAGGAGGCAAAGAGGCAGTTATGACAAAGTAGTAACATCAACATGAACCCATGACCTGCATACTCTCACACTTCCCAATTCCATAATATCCTCACCCGTCCCCCGTTTTTGTTCTTTATAAAGTGAAGACCAATATCCCTGTCAGGTTTAATACAGCCTATACTGTACTGGAGAAACCATCTACTATACAAATAAAACTCTTCTCTCATCTTGATGTTTCTCTACATTGTTGTCATTACT